GGTGCGCCTTCAAGCTCTCGACCATCAAAGGCAGTACATTTTCTATCCTACCTCCTTTTAAGTGCGTCTTCGAGCCCTTGCCTTATTTCTTTTCGAGTGCGCCTTCGAGCCCTCGACCATCAAAGGTAGTGCATTTTCTATCCTACCTCCTTTTAAGTGCGCCTTCGAGCCCTCGACCATCAAAGGTAGTGCATTTTCTATCCTACCTCCATTTGAGTGCGCCTTTGAGTCCTCGCCTTATTTCTTTTTGAGTACGCCTTCTAGCCCTCGACCATCAAAGGTAATGCATTTCCTATCTTACCTCCTTTTAAGTGCGCCTTTAAGCCCTCGCCTTATTTCCTTTCGAGTGCACCTTCGAGCCCTCGACCATCAAAGGTAGTGCATTTCCTATCTTACCTTCACTTGAGTGCGCCTTCAAGCCCTCACCTCATTTCTTTTCAAATGCACCTTCGAGCCCTCGACCATCAAAGGTAGTGCATTTCCTATCCTACCTCCACTTGAGTGCCCTTCGAGCCCTCTCCTTATTTCTTTTCGAGTGTGCCTTCAAGTCCTCAACCATCAAAGGTAATGCATTTTCTATCCTACCTCATTTTGAGTGCGCCTTTAAGCCCTCACCTAATTTCTTTTCGAGTGCGCCTTCGAGCCCTCGACTATCAAAGGTAGTGCATTTTCTATCTTACCTCCCTTTGAATGCGCCTTCGAGCTCTCACCTCATTTCTTTTCAAGTGCACCTTTGAGCCCTCGACCATCAAAGGTAAAGCATTTTCTATCCTACCTCCTTTTGAGTACGCCTTCGAGCCCTTACCTTATTTCTTTTCGTGTGCGCTTCGAGCCCTCGACCATTCAAGGTAGTGTATTTCCTAACTCTATCTCCTTTTGAGTGCGCCATCAAGCCCTCATTTCCTTTCGAGCACATCTCTAAGCCCTCATTTCCTTCGAGCTTTCATCTCTTGAATAGTGCGCCTTCGAGCCCTATCATGACCATCCTGAAAAATCCTCGTATTTTTCCACTGGGCAGGTGACCCATTACAATGTGACCACTTTTGAAAAATCATCGTATTTTTCCACTAGGCAGGTAACCCATTACAATGTGACCAATCTGAAAAATCCTCGTATTTTTCCACTGGGCAGGTAACCCATTACAATGTGACCATCCTAAAAAATCCTCGTATTTTTTCACTAGCTAGTTGACCCATTATAATGTGACCACTTTTGAAAAATCATCATGTTTTTTCACTGGGTAAGTAACCCATTACAATGTGACCATCCTGAAAAATCCTCATATTTTTCCAATGGGCAGGTAACTCATTACAATGTGACCATCCTGAAAAATCTTCGTATTTTTCCACTAGGCAAGTAATAAATTACAATGTGACCAATATGAAAAATCCTTATATTTTTCAAACATCGGGCAGGTCACCTGGAACAATTAGACCACTTACGAAACCCTTGTCATGTTTTATTTTTTATCGGGCAGGTCGCCTGGAACAATTAAACCATTCGCGAAACCCTTTCGCGTTTTATTCTTCATCAGGCAGGTCACCTAGAATAATTAGACCATTTGTGAAATTCTTCGCGTTTCTTTTATCATCGGGCAGGTTGTCCAAAATAATTTGATCCATTTCAAAAAAAACAAAAAAAAAATGGGTCGTCTTCCAAATGACTTGTTCTCTCTGTAAAAGTCATATGTCAATCTAGTATTTTTGAAGTTTTCAAGACTCTAAAAAAAAAAGCTTTTTGTATCTACTTTTCTTTATAAATTTACTACACAAAGATAAAGAAAATGAAAAATTTCCATATCTTTGCATTGTAAATATTATAAAGAGATGGCAACTGTCATAACCTAATTTTTAAATAAATATTAAAAAAATAAATTTAGTTGAGAATTGGGTTAAGATAGCATAAATTTAAAGTTCACAGTTGAAATTTTTAAAATTTAAGAGTTAATTGGTTAGAAATTGAAGAATTAATAAGTTTGAGAATTTAATTAAAATTAGGATTATTTTAATTAATGAAATCAAGAGCTTAATTGAAGAATTAATGAGTTTGAGGACTTAATTAAACTTTGATTCAATTAATTAAAGGAATCGGGGATTTAATTGAAGAAATACCAAAGTTTGGAGCTGATTCAAGGAAAATTGCTAGAAAATTAAAGTCCAAAGACCAAATTAAATTGTCCAGAAACCCAGGACTGTTGTGTAAATGGTGCTATACCTCAAGGATTCAAATTGAATTTAATCCAAGGGCACAATTAGAAATTAATTATTACTTATTAAGATCTTAATTGGGGCCAAAGTGAAAAATAGTCATTCCCAAGGACACAAACGGCACTGTTTGGAAGCACTGTTCATCATCCATTTTGATTCGCACGGAGAAAGCCAATTCAATAGGAAATCTACAGCAAATCGTGGACCACATCTCCTGCCCACTGATTAGTACTTAAAAATGTATTTTTATCAAGGTTTTATATCATCATTTTGCACTTGAAGTATCAATAACTCCTTAACTAAAACATGTTTTATAATAACATATCTAATAATATAAGATACATTTAATTTGTAGTAAATGTTTATTTTAAATGCAGGCCTATCACATAAATAAAAGGATTAATTGATGAATTTAAGAACTGAAATTGAAAGTACAAAAAGATGGTCAAACTTAGAAAAGAGATGTCGGTGTAGTCCAAACCGGAACACTGTTCGGTAATTGGATCATATCTGGAGCTGTAGATCTCGGATTTAGGTCTACTTTATATGTATGGAAAGGTAAGACATTACAAAAAATACAAAGAGAGAAAGCAAGAGCATGATCTTGATTTGAAAACCAAGATACCTAAATGCATGGCAAATGCCTCTTTTTATAGGCCAAAATTAGGAATTGTTGATTTGATGACTAATTGATGAGTGGGTGACCAACACTTGACTTGGTAACAATCCTTATCTTCTCTTATCTGCCCAAAACATCATTGATAACGTCTAAATTGGAACCACTTGAAAACATAAACATTGTAGGAAATTGTCTCAGCTTTCTCGTGTAAAAAATTCAGGTCATTTGGACTTCGAAAACTCCAGATATGGGCCAAACACTGAACAGTGCTCGGGCTAGAGGACAAATTCAGACTTCTTTGTTGTTGCTATAATTTGGACTTGAAAATGGCCTTTTTAAGTCTTGGGCTCTATATGAAAGTTATAAGTCTATGTCTTAGCTTTCTATCCATATAAAGTAGACTTAAATATGAGATCTACAACTCCAGATATGACCCAGTTACCAAACAGTGTTCCGGTTTGAATTGCACCAGCATCTCTTTTCGAAGTTTAACCATCTCTTTGTCCTTTCAATTTCAATTCTTAAAGTCATCAATCAATCCTTTCATTTATGTGATAGGCCTGCATTTAAAATAAATATTTACCATAAATTAAAGGTATCTTATATTATTACATATGTTATTATAAAACATGCTTTAGTTAAGGAGTTATTAATACTTCAAGTGCAAAATAATGATATAAAACCTTGATAAAAAAATTCACTTTTAAGTACTAATCAAAATCATAGATGAAAAAATTATCGAAAATGTTGATGCGAATCTTTTGTCAAGAGTGGCAATAAATTTGACATCTGACATCACATCAATCGATTATTATTTTCCTGACGAATCCTTACTTTCTCTTAGTCCAATGCCTTGGTATGATAAAAACATCAATTTTCTTGCTTCAGGAGATTTGCCAGCTGATTGGAGTACCCAAGACAAAGAAAAGTTTTTGAATAAAGTGAAGAACTTTTATTGGGATGACCCGAACTTATTCAAATATTGTCCTGATCAAATATTTTAAAGATGTATTCCTAACAAGGAGATAAGTAGTGCCATTCAACTTTGTCATTTTGAAACATGTGGGAGTTATTTCTCGTCAAAAAAGACAGCTACAAAAATCTTTCAAAATGAATTTTATTGGCCCACCATGTTCAAGGACACGCATGCATTCTACAAAACTTGTGAAAATTGTCAAAAAATTGATACTGGTCAAAAAGTTTTGTTTTATAATTCTCAACTCCATTTATTCCCTAGAGAGCTAAAATCAAGATGGGGTAGTCCATTTTTTGAGAAACATGTGTATCCTTATGGGGCCTTTGATATTGAGAATCCAAAGAATGACAATGTTTTTAAGGTAAATGAACATCATTAGAAAGCTTACTTTGATAATTTTCCTAGTGAAAATGAATCAACTGGTTTGAATGATCCTATAGATAAAGGTTGATTATTTTTTTTTCTCACATTGTTTTTGTGTTTTGTTTTTTTTGTAACTCTTGGTTTGCTAGTCTCTCTCACTCCAGTTAAATGGCGGATAACGGTACTCCATGACTCTTAAGTCGGTTTTTTCAGTTTCCCATGATAATTGATATCTATGTGTATATTTGTTCAATTCCTTGTTTCTTCTCTTCTCTTTGTATCTTTTTTCCACTTCTCATCTTAAAAAATGAACACCACTCTTGAAAAATTGAAAAAGTATTTTCCTGTTTTGTCTTAAAATGCGATTATAAAAATTTACCGAGCTAGGTGTACAAGATTGAGGTTGTTAATGAACCATGGAATTCCTGAAGAGATACCCTGGTTAATTGAAGCAAAGGTCCGATTATCAGGTGAGTCTTCCAATTCTTTCATTTCACACATGCCTGGAACAAGTAAAAGCACTTTTGCAAAGAAACATCGTGTAAAATGACTGAAAGTCTGCCATCGATGTGCAAGATGGACTTGCAATGCACAATGTCGTTCTTTAGAAGTGGTATCTGTAAACCGTGAAGATAAAACACTATTCATTAAGGATGGCCCGAGTAAGGGGTCTTTAGATAATCTTCTATTGACTCTTGAGACGCATCCTAGTGGAGATGTGCATTGTGCAATTCATGATTTATGGCCAATATTCCATAAGGAACATGCTTGACATAGTCTTGGGAAACTGACTAAAAAAGACCCTGTTTGCTGGTTTTTAAAAATAGGAGTCAGAATGCTGAACCCCCAGAATTTGGTGACTGCCTATGGACTAGCAAGGATGCAGGAGGAAAATCTATCAATCATGAGGAAATCCTGGAGGCCTAGTGCTATGGGACTTCAAGGCCGCAGCCCAACACCAATTCAGTCCAGGGCTGAAAATAAACCAGTTCAGATACACAGACTCACTCCAGCACAGATGAAGGAAAAAAGAGACAAGGGGCTTTGCTTTAAATGTGACAGTAAATAGGGACCTGGCTATAAGTGTGGAGGACCAAGGATATTCTTGATAGAGGAAGTAGATGAGGAGGTGGAGGAGAAAACTTGTGCCCCTGAAGATCTGATTGATTTAGGAGAACCTCCGGAAGAAGGCAATGAGGATATTGGCATATCGCTTCATGCAATCATAGGGAGTCCCAATCCTAAAACTATGAGGGTAGAAGTTAAGCTAAGTGGCCATAACTTCGTGGCCTTAATTGACACAGGAAGTACACATAATTTCATACACCCCAGGGTAGCCAGGAGGGTAGGGATGAAAGTCCTAAAACACAAGCCTATCAGGGTGAATATTGCAGATGGTTCTCAGTTGTGGAGCGAGGGAAGCTGCCCAGATATCAAACTGATAATCCAAGGAGATCAGTTTGTCACCCGGGCTTATGTCATTCAGTTGGGAGGATGCGATATGGTGTTAGGAATTCAGTGGCTCAAAAGTCTAGGGCCCATTCTGTGGGACTTCTTAGCCTTAAAAATGGAATTCCAAAAGGAGGGGAAGAAGGTCCTGATCTGTGGAATGGGAGTGGAGAAATCAGAGGTTGACTACAGCCCAACCTTTTTACAAGAGTTGAGAAGAGTCGAGGAAGGCCTAATTCTGCAAATATGGGAGCTAGGATCAGCTCAGAATGAGATTCCAGAACATATTGAGAATCTGTTGCTAGAATTCATGGAAGTTTTTCAAGAGCCAAAAGGAATTCCACCTAGGAGATCACATGATCACTCTATAATATTGAAAAAGGGTACCTCCCCAATCAGTGTACGTCCTTACAGGTACCCCTACTACCAAAAATCTGAGATAGAAAAGCTTATTAAAGAGTTGTTGGCAATGGGTACCATAAGACCCAGCCAAAGCCCCTTTTCATCGCCAGTCCTACTAGTTAGGAAGGCTAATGGGTCATGGAGAATGTGTGTTGACTATCATGCCCTCAACAAGGAAACTATGAAAGACAAGTTTCCCATACCAGTTGTGGAAGAACTACTAGACGAGCTTCATGGTTCTCAGATTTTTTCCAAGCTAGACCTGCGGTCGGGCTTTCACCAGATCAGAATGAAGGAAAAAGATGTTCCCAAAACAGCCTTTCGAACTCACGAAGGGCACTATGAATTTTTGGTGATGCCTTTCGGCCTCACAAATGCTCCTTCCACTTTTCAAGGTTTGATGAATGATATTTTTCGACCCTATCTCAGAAAATTTGTTCTGGTTTTCTTCGATGACATTCTAGTCTACAGTCACAATGTGGAAGAACATGAGAGACATCTAAGGATGGTATTTGAGACTCTGGTGCGACACAAGTTATTTGCCAAAGAGTCTAAATGTAAATTTGCAAGCAAAGAAATTGAATATTTAGGGCATATCGTATCAGATCAGGGAGTACATGCTGACCCCAGCAAAGTGGAGTCAATGATCAAGTGGCCTAGACCAAACATGCTCAAATCACTAAGGGGTTTTTTAGGGTTAACAGGTTACTACCGTAGATTCATCAAGAGTTATGGGGCGATTGTTAGTCCCTTAACGAGACTATTGAAAAAAGGGGCTTTCAAATGGGATTCGGAAGCAGAACAAGCCTTTGAATAATTAAAACAGGTTGTATCAACCCCCCCAGTCCTAACACTACCAGATTTTAACCAAAGTTTTGTAGTAGAGTGTGATGCCTCAGGTATAGGACTCGGTGTTGTGCTAATGCAAGGAGGTAGACTCATCTCTTATTTCAGCAAGAGTCTAAAGGGGAGGGAGCTATCACTATCCACCTATGAGAAGGAGTTCTTGGCATTAGTCACTGCTGTTCAGAAATAGAGGCCTTACCTTTTAGGCTAAGCCTTTAAGGTTAAGACGGACCAACAGAGCCTCAAGTATTTATTGGAGCAGCAGGTTGGAACCCCCACACAGCAGAAATGGTTATCCAAATTGATTGGATATGACTTTGTGGTCGAGTTTCGAGCAGGGAAGGAGAACCTAGTAGCTGATGCACTCTCTAGACAGGAGGACACCATAGAAGATTGTACACTATGGGCTATCTCTACTCCAATTATTTATTGGGCTGATTAATTAAAAGATAGCTATAAAACTGATCTGGAAATTCAAGCTATCATGCAACAACTAGACCAGGAAACCATAGGCACCTTAAAATACCATTTTAGGGGTGGGATACTATACTATAAACAGAGAGTCTACATCAGTCAATCCAGCCCTATAAAAAACAGCCATATTAAATTATATACATGATAGCCCATCCTTGGGACACACGGGTTTTGAGAGAACACTAAAAAGGGCAAGGAGAGATTTCTTTTGGGTAGGAATGAAATCAGATATACAAACCTACATTAAACAGTGTGAGGTCTGCCAGAGAGCAAAAGGAGTAAACACAAAACCCTCAAGACTCTTACAACCTTTACCTATACCCACCAAACCATGGTCATCTATATCTATGGATTTTATAAAGGGGCTACCAAAATCTAATCAATACTCGGTAATTATGGTAGTTGTGGATAGGTTTACCAAATATACCCATTTTATCCCTGTGTCCCACCTCTACAACGCGACAAAAATCGCCAATCTGTTCTCACAGAATGTAATGAAACTACATGGACTACCAGACAACATAATATCAGACAGGGATCCTACCTTTACTAGCAATTTTTGGGGAGAGTTATTCCAAATTCAGGGGGTTAAGCTGCTAATGTCAACAGCCTACCACCCCCAAACCGACGGTCAAACAGAGGCAACTAACAAAACATTGGAAGGGTATTTGAGATGCTATGTAGGAGATAATCCGAAGGGCTGGTCTAATTGGCTAACCATGACCGAATATTGTTACAATACCAGCTACCACACATCCCTCAAATCCACCCCATTTGAAGCAATTTATGGTTGCCCACCCCCGAGCCTCACAGATTACATCCCCGGGTCAACAAAAAACCACGCAGTAGAGGAACAATTACAACATAGAACAGAACAAATTGCAGAAATTAAACACAACTTAGCTCGAGCTCAGGAGAGACAAAAGAAACAAGTAGATAAAGGTCGAAAAGAGATCCAGTTCAAAGAAAGGGAGTGGGTTTACCTCCGGCTCCAGCCATTCAGACAGTCCAGCATGCAAAAAATAAAAATGGAAAGTTAGCGTATAAATACTTCGGGCCATTCAAAATCTTAAAAAGGGTGGGGGAAGTGGCTTACCAGCTAGATCTTTCAAAAGAAGCCCGAATCCACAATACGTTCCATGTCTCACTGCTGAAGAAATGGTTGGGGAAAGGGACCATTCCTGAACCGAAGCTACCCAATCTTGAACCCAAGAGGAATTCTCAACCTGAACCAGCAGAGATACTTGACCGAAGGAGCCAAGTCTCAAGGAGGAAGACAAACGAAGAAGTACTGTTAAGATGGGAAGGACAGCCTAAAGAAGATGCAGTTTGGGTCGATGAAGAGTGGTTAAAAGGTTCATACCCTCACCTTGAGGGCAAGGTTTTTTAAGGGGGAGAGAGTTGTAACAGTCCGGCAGCACCTAAAGGAGCAAGATCAAGGGAGGCCGGGGAAAGAAATGAAGGAGGCGTTTTGAAGAATACTTACCTGCAACAAAGAGATAAAGTGAGCACGTGTATGGTCAAGATTGGACAAGAAGCACTTACGTGGAAGGCTAAGATGAAGAAGTTCCTGCGACTGACAGCTAGCAGGGGAGTAAGTTCAAAGACAAACGACACCGTTTGGGAGAAGGAAAAAGAATCCAAATACAACACTGATAAATAAAACAGTTGTCAAATATATCTATTATCATTAATTCATAAGGAACCGAGAGTTAGAATAAAAAGGGGGGGTGGAGGTAGCAGATAGGCAGGAAATTGCTTTGAAGCAAATCTCATTCATCCAGGAGGCCCGGGCTACCTCGAAGCTGCCTAGAATTCTAGATTAGGGTTTATCAATCTTGCATTGTTCTTTCCATTCAGTTTTTCTTTAAAATATTTTTCCTTAAACTTGTTATTTCAATTTCCTTACTCTACCTGTAAGCTCAGGTTAAAGAAAAGCTATAATAAAAATTCTAGTAATTAGTAATTTTTTATTGAAATTACTAAACTCATTACACTGTCCATTGCATTCTGAAAATGTATTATTTCCATCCCTTAGTTGGTATTCATTTTTTCCTTAGATGATGGCCGTAATTGCAGATTTCATGCTTGTTTTTCTTCCTGCTCCCACGGTTTCTCTCCGTTCACCACTAGCAGGAAACGCTGGACCTATTGCAAAGTTCTTCCACAACTGCCCTGATAATGCATTCCAGGTTTCTGATTTATTGATAAACTTATGCATTAACTAGTAAGTTTAACAAAGATGACTACAGAAAGTCTTAGATAGTCACCTTCTCGTCAAATCCTCATTACAGGTGGCTCTCGCTGGAACTTCCTATTCACTCTTACAGAGATTAGGTGCTATAGCGGTAAGTTTTTTACTTTCTATTTTTTGCACATTGTTAATTAAATATCTTAACTCCCATGCCAAGAGTAGCCTGGTCCTTACATGGATTTGTTATTGCAGCGTAATGGAGCGAAGCTTTTTGTTGTTGGCACCGCCTCCTCACTGGTAAGTTCATACTGGACAGGAGGTTATATAGCACATTTTTTAATGATTTTGTACTAAGAAATGAATTTAAAGTTGGTAGGTTGTTATATGTTGAGGTTTGTCTCCCCCATCTTACATAGCCTATACTACCTCATGCCATTCTATATCACCTATGTAGTTTTCTACAGGAGAATCTCATTTTGGAGGAGTGAGAAACTCTCTCTCCACACACACACACACACACACACACTTTGTGTTCCTATCATCACATTTTTTTAAGCATGGATAATCCATTTGCTTCTCTGGCGTTTTGGCTTTTACTCTGAGAATGTTCTTGGAATTGTTAATCTTTAGTGGTCTGAAAACTTTGCATTATAAGCAGTTTGTCTCTCTGACATTTTTTTATAGATTCCTTCCTGTGTGCACGTTTGGTTTTCAATATTAAACAGGGGTAACCTTTTGTGCACATGTTCTTGCGTTATAACAAGTTCAATCTAGTTAGACAAATAAAAAAGAATAATTCTTGGTCTTTTGCCTCCTTTTTAGTTGCAAAGTACCGGTCCTCTCATTTGTATGCTAATGGGTGAAAGGTTCTTGGTTCTGAGGATGCATACCTCTAATGCAATCGTTTTGTTTTAGGTTGGTACCGCTGTGACAAATACCTTGATCAATGCACGGAAAACTGTGGACAAGTCTTCTGCTGGTGAGGTTGAAAATGTACCTATTTTATCTACCAGTGTTGCCTATGGTGTCTACATGGCAGTTTCTAGCAACCTCAGGTACAATGATCCTCCAGACATGGTTTTTGCTCAATTTTCTAAGTATCTAGTGTCTTCTTTATGACCTATCTAAGATGCTGTAATTTATTACACCGTTTAATTCATGCACTATTCATATAAAAGATATGGGCTAGATTTCACGGGGCAAGATTTTTATTTGATCATTGGAACAAAATTAGGTTTTTGTTGAATACAGCATAATTATGCAAAATTTGATCACTAGCATAATTTTACATGTTATAACTTGTCTTATATAGCCTTTGGTGCCAGAACCACTATTCAGAACAGATTAATTAGCAAATTAACAATGAAGCATTGCTAATATATTCCATGATAAGAATTGTAGAAAATTTTGAACTGGTGTCGTTTTGTCCATTTAAAAAGCTTAAATGATTTCAAAAAATGGATCTGTTATTACAATTTTGAAGTGTTGTTTGAAATTTTAATCTGAATGAGTTGCTATTGATATTTAGGTTTCTATGGGTTAGAATGGTTTACCGACAGACTACCTCTGTTGAACAGGTATCAAATACTGGCTGGTGTTGTTGAACAGCGCATCTTGGAACCTATGCTACACCAGCACAAGCTCATGCTAGGTGCACTTTGTTTTGCTGTTCGAACAGGCAACACGTTCCTGGGTTCATTATTGTAAGATTGCACCCTTTATTTCCTGGGAATCTTAAACTAGATAATCTTTGTACCTGTGGCATCTCATGTCCATCCCTTTGCTTCAACAGGTGGGTGGACTATGCTCGCTTGATAGGAATCCAAAAGGCGCATGAGGAGCACAGGGAATGGACTGATTAGTTCTAGAAATGTTGGCTTGTCTGTGTTTAAATCGCTTGAAGTAGGCATGTCAATTCGAGTTTTTTTGGTTGCTGAACTACCGAAGTTTCATGAAAATTTGTAGGTAGTCTCAGTTTCTCTATGATTCTTAAATGTAATTTTTTCCGTTCTCATTGTTGGTGTCCAGATTCGGACACAATTGCTGGTAAATTTGAACTATCGAAAGGGGATAAAGGATTGCAGGAATAAACATTTTGATGTGAATTTTTTTTTGTTGGAATATCAGAAATAGAAAAAGATTACCATTCTTGACACCAAGTTAAACCGAGCAAGCATCAAACCTGGTCAATTCACAACAATCACATGAGAAGAATCATAATAATCGTTTTTTTCCTTAGAAAATTGCAAATTGAGACGTAGAATGAGGTAATTTGGTTACTGTATTCTTGGTTGACGAAATTCCACTGAAACACAGCCTAGAAATTCAAAGACTGTCATCTACTTGAGGGTTGGAGTTGTCTACTTAGCACCAAGCAGCATCACACTTAACCTCGTACCAATAAACAGGAGAAGAAGAGGAAGAAAACAAAGTACAATCAAGTTAACACGTTCCATTTGTGCTTGATAACATGTTCAGGCAATGACTTCATCTTTCATACAAGCCCTTAACTTGATGTGTGTAATATTCATGTCTGCTGTCTCTTCAACGTTGCAGCATTCCATCAGTCCAGCCTGCAAGATACACCAGAAACATGCGATGATCAGTAAACAGTTAAAATTCTTTAGGAAATTGTTTTATTAAACGTTTAAGCCCAAAATTTATATTTATGTTGTCTGTCAATTCTGCCCGTTTATTTGGTCCTATTTATTGGAAAGTAATTAGTTTTTTAAATAAATTTAAAAAATATAAATTAGTTTTTGCTTTTTGATAGTGTAATAAAAATTAAATTGGAAAATACTTTTTAGTATTTAGTTATGTCATAGAAAATGAGCTGAAAAATAACTTATTAATATTTTATTTTTTAAAAGTTTATTAAAATAATACAAAACAAATCTTATAAATTAAAAAGTTAAATGAGAATGAAATTGAAAAAAATATAATTTTATAAATTATCTTAAATAAAATAAATAATAATCAAAATAATAGAGATCAAATATAAAAAATTAAAAAATTAAAAAATTAAAAGATGAAGAAATTAAAATAATAATAATTAAAATTTCATAAATTATTTCAAATAAAATAAATAATAATCAAAAGAACGAGGATCAAATTTGATAAATAAAAAATTTTAATTAAAAAATGATAAGGAAAAAGAAAATGAGAATTATAAAAATAAGAATCAAAATTAATATAAAAATTAAATTTTAAGGGATGAAATTGAAAAATAAATATTTATATATAGTAATCAAAAGTTTAAGGATCAAATTTGATATAATCAGCAAATAATATGATATTTTTAAATTATTTACAACTTCCAGAAAGTGTTTTATATTCAAAATAAAAATAAAAAACTTTTTTAAAAACTAAACCAAATTTTTCTTTGACTGTAAAATATTTTTTATCAACTAATTTTTTAATAAGAACAAATAAAAAAAATATTAAAAAATAATTTTATAAAAACTATTTTCCGGTAAACGCACCAAGAGGAAGATTTTAATTAACGAACTGTAGCAAAATTGTTTTTGGTTGTCAAATGTATCTAGCTAATATCAAGAGCTAAGCCTGACGACAATGTTGGACTTTTGACGTGACGGAAAAGATGGAAAACTCACCTTTTTTAATGTTGTTGCTGATGAAAAGACTTGAATTTTGGAAATATGATTTGCAGAATGATTGCCACTTGATGAACATGGTGGCAAATTGCGTGGTGATTTTCGGGTGTAGGTCGTAACAACTTGGTTCCCTCTGGTTTTCTCGACAGATTCCATGAAGAATTCATGAGGAGCATCGCATGGATCATTGGTGAGACTTCGAGTGTTGAACATATAGAATGGTGGCTTAAAAATCCTCAGCCACGGTCTGAACGTCTCGATAGGTCGCAGTAGAAAGCTTCGGGGATGTATATTTTCGTATATGTGAGCGGAGTAGCCCCATGAGGTTGAAAAAGACCAGTTGTTTTTCCTTTGGTAGCAGATAGTTTGTTCCAATAGCCGTGAATGATCGACTTTTGCAGCCTCCATTAGATGGTTCACGGACGCAGAGCGATTCATGGAGGGGAAGATTGGATCTACGACATCGATGTGGTGAAGGGATAGGACAGGAGACTGATGATGAGCTGATAGAAGGCCTGATATGTCCCCATGTAGATCAATCTGCAGTAAAGCACCATAAATCAATAGGAATCTGTTAGTTTATGAATTGATTTTGCTTAATTTCTACATGAACATTGATAGAATGATCAAATACCTGGTGAAAGCCTCTGTGATGCGTTAGAGGAACTCCAAAATCAGCCAAACACGTCTGCAAAATAAAGTCACTGGAATATACACTTGGATATCGTTGAATACACCCATCCACCCTCGTGGACAAAGCTTCTGCTAGAGGGTAACTCAAAGCATACCCGGCTCCACCAAATGCCATTTCGAACGAGAAATTAACATTCGAGCTAACACATTCCGAATTCATCCCGATGTAGAAGTACTCAGTATGATTGTACTTGGCTAAAACCTCTACTAAATTATCAATAAATAAGACTGTGTCATCATCTGCCATTACATACCATCTAACATCTTTATCTCCCTGCATAAAAGCCTCCATGATTGTACGTACTATTCTAAGCTGTGTTACATATCTGCTGTTTAATCTAAATTTGACAGGTGCATTGACGCGAAAAGGCGGAGAAGATGAGGGCCAAGGATGGAATCTCTGCGAGGGATCTCTATCAAGGAAAATATATCCTCGAGTAACATTTGGTCTCCACCATGATTCCACGTATGATTTCCTGTGCTTCCATGTGTCCACAGAACTCACCATGGCAAATACAATGTGGCTGATACTTGTAGGGGTAGTAGTAACATTCGCAGAAGTAGTTGCATTATTAGGTGAGAGTGGTGGCCATTTGTGCTTAAAGAGAGAGAATCGATTCATAGTCTGGCTACAGTTAGGATGGTTAAACAAGACAGTATAGAGCAGTAAAAGGATCAGTCCCCAAGTGGCTATAGATTTGCATAGAGTTCTAAGAGATATGTGTTGCAAGCTTTGTTGAATTGCAGCACTGACACTGTTGATGGGTTTCTCTGAAGACATTTTTGAAGGGAATCTTGAATTGTCACCTTTGACTGGATCGCTAGAAGAGCTTATATGGCATAGTTTCTTGTCTAGCCTTGATAATTCATGTGACGTTGATTGTTTTCCTTTCTTGTTGTCTTTGTGCCAAAGCATTGTTTTCGTGAGTTTTCTAATGCAACATCCATCCTTCAAGTGAGCTTTGCGCCATGTCCAGCCGTAGGTACAATGCCGAGGAAATGCTTTCCATAAGCAACAAAATGCATGTTTCAGCTCTGAGCTTGGAGCCATGTTTAATGTGGATGAAATGCTTTCGGTGCAACCCTTGTAACGGTTATAGCTTCGCCGTTTCTTTCTTCTTCTTTTTTTTCCTTGCCATTTTGATACCCGCACACTGGATTTCATCTTTCATCTATTGTTTAGAGTGGCATGCATGCTCGAGGCAGATCTGAAATATAAGGACTTGATTGAAAAAAAATCATTCAAAGACTAAATTGAATGTATTGTAAGGCATGAGGATCAAAGAGTTCAATTAAAGATTTATTTGCAAGAAAAATAAAATATAACGACCAAAGTAAAATTCTCAAGAGATTTTAGGAGCCAAATTGTATAGTAAAATAGTTACTGTGAATGATAACAACTCTCTCGCGCGCGCGCGCATATATAGTCAAGGCCTATTTATCGCGCCGAAGCTCTCTAAGTTTAATTTGTAAGAATGAAAACGTTTAAAAATTTTAAATTGAGAGACATACCTTGTCTAGCCATTGCATGCATAAAAAAAATAACCACCTGGAATTTAAATCCTCTCATGTTCTTGAGAATTTGATCGATAGTGTTTGTGGAAGCTTAAACCTTGAATTTAAATAAGGGTTCTTGCTTGATTACAGATCAACAGCTCCCATGACTGTTCCTAGTCAACCGTTTGAGAATGGAACACAATGAACAGCAGCTAGCTGCGGGCAGCGGTAAAGACACAGGTCTTGATGAATATATGCATGTGTATATACATTCAACAATTTATTTGTTTTTGTCTAATCATTTAATGACTACGCAAAGAAGTACAAATTTCTGAGAGAAATTTAAGCTGACTGACGGTAACCATTTCTTTTCCCTTGTACTACTACAAGTTACCCCCCCTCCACAACACTTTCCGGGTGACACCTGACGGCGAATCGCAGACCCCAGCAGGAACTGCTTTCCTGTACCCCAGAAAAAAACATGAACTAAGTTACATTATAAATCCCGAGGGCCATCGACAGATTGGGTCTTTCTGAGATTCCAGTGGAGGCCATCGTGGATGCTACGCAAAAAGTCGCTTGTGGAATCAATTTGGCATGCTGTTGGGACAGGCCACGGTGCCATGCTGCACACAAGCGCATCACCAGCGGCCAGCTGTTTCCTGTGCTTGCCATCAAATGAGGCCCAAGCAGGGCTTCTGCTGTTGAATGGAACTTGAACTCGTATTGTTACATGCTCAGGTAATATCAGAGGTCGAAACGATAAGGAATGTGGACAAATTGGTGTAAACAGGATTCCAGGGACCTGCAATTACGGGAAATACATCAAATTTGTAATACCAATGGCGCGCATTAAAGTGATAGCAATAATACTAATGTGAACAATCAAAGAGTACATTCACTTCCAAATGAAATCAACCACGCTCTTCATAGAAAAGGATAGCGTCAACTTTTTACATGTCCACAGTGTGGGTGCAACTTCTCAGTGCTTGTTGGTTTACAAATTGATGTATTGAACTCGTAGTTTAATAATGGATTTTCTTTTTGTTTTGCAAATCAGCAAGGCCATGTCATTGAGAATGGGGGAAAAGCAGGCCAATCTATTCTAACTCAACCTGTTAGCCATAAAAAAAAAGCCTGCCGCGTTGGCCATTCCAGGTGAAAATGCTGAAGCAAGAGCCGCATTCTAAGATCCTTTTCGATTGAATGTAACAAGTACACATGAGCTGGCTATTTCTTGTATCTTTGAATCACATACTACCTTCTTTCAATAACTTCATTTTCTTGCTAGTGCTATTCATCAAACCTGGTACCCTCATCTAAACTATGTGATTCTGCTAGGTGTGTTTTC